CTCTCTCTCTCTCTCTCTCTCTCTCTCTCTCTCTCTCTCTCTCTCTCCGAATAGAACTGAACTGTCAAGCAGCAAGAAGACAGATCAGGCGACCAAGCATAGCATTGCACACCAAATTTCAAGGGAAGAGCACGGAAGGGCATGTACAGAGCCTGGCACAGAAAGGAATGGCACTGGGATGCTCCTCCTAGGCAACATATACTAACTTGGATGACCAGGCTTTGCGGGGGGAACCCCCGTCCCACCCTTCACTCCAGGAGGGGTGCGCACTGACTGAGGTGCTATCTGCAGTGGTGCCCCCGCAGGAGGAGCAACTGCTGGAGCTAGAAATGACAAACAGGGTGGGGGTTATGGAGTGTTAAAGCGTGGCTATTCCTCTGCAAAACTAAAGATGACTGTGGATTGTGATGGATAGAGCGCCCCAACTCTAACAGCATACCGAGAAATACGATTTGCAGTTATTTACAACCCATACAAATGACTTACCCTCAGCGATGTTGACAGTGAACGGGCTCCTGGGGATCTCCTGGCCTGCAAACAGGACGTGGATGGCGTGAGGCCCTTCCTGCACGGGGCGATAGGTGCAGCGGAACACACTGTCCCCCTTGCTCTCCAGCATGAGCTCCACCGTGTCCTTTTTACCCTGAGGATCCACAATGACCACGCTGATGTCACCGTGGCCAGCACCTGAAGGAAAATAACCAGAGAAAGAACTGGTTATTGCTAAATAAAATGAATGCAGTACTGCACATCTCCTGTTACCTTACATGAAAGAGTTTCAAACTACAATAACCTTTTGTTGAGAAATAGAATATAAAGCTGTTTTGGTCAAACTTTATTTGGAATCTCATGCGATCTGTTTTGAGTATGTGTTGTGAGTGACTCTTAGATTAATCAAACCAAATTTTAGCTCAATATCTGTAAAACTGACTGGGTTATAGACATCTTTGCATTGGCTAAGGCAGCCTTAATGAAATGAGGGGTGTGGCAAACCCCCAGGGGTCACTAGGGGGGCCTCAGAAAGCTGGAGGGAAGAGGAAGAAAAAAATGCAAAAATTAAAAAAAATCATCTATTAAATGTTTTAAATCATTGTCATGAAATCAAATCTGAATTTTAGTCAATAAAAAAAAAACAATTTCAATACCTTCCTAAAACAATGGCCAGAATCTCGAAACATGTCACATGGTACTTTTTTGCTTAGTAAAAGTTAGATTTTTTTTTCTCTTCTTATCGTCAACAGCTTGTTGACAAGGTTTTTTCAGTGGGAATAATTAGTGTCTTAAACATTTTAGTTAATAAAATTCTTATGCTATAATGATTTAAAAGTGAGTAAAAGCATCCTAAATGTTGGTGTTTCTTTAAATATTTTGTAGCATTGTTGGTACGTTTGCTAGGGTCTCTAGCTAGAGGCTAACGCTGTTTGGGGACAATGGCATGGAAAAGTTTGGAAGCTCCTGAGCTAAGGTTCATTAACTCTGGTAGCCATTTTGAACTGGGTTCACTCCAAAATTTAATTAGCTGGAAAATGTGCCTTCAATTATAATTCTCTGAAATTTTCTTTAACGTCCATCCAGCAGTTCGGGAGATATTATGCTAACAGACAGACAAATGAACACACAAAGACAAAAGCATTATTGTATGAAATATCTGATTGTTAAGATAGCTGGTCTTCTGCCACACTCACCAGCTGTATAGATGTCAAAGTAAGTTGGTTTGTTGGCCACGTTGCCTGTCGGCTCCAGACCCGGACCCCTGGCGTGGACTTTGCTTGGGTCGCCCATCGCCTTCGTCACGTTCACAGTGTAGGGGCTCTTGTCAATGTCCTGACCTGCAAACAGCACTTTCACCTAAAAATTAAGATAAAACAGAGACAAATATAAGGCACCATAAAATAAAAGTTTTGAGTCAGCTGGGGTTAATAAAACTTGAAGTTTACCTTGTGGACACCCTCAACTTTGGGAAGGTAGGTGACAGTGTAGGTTCTGTTTTTGTCCTTGTTGGGTTTAACTTTAGCCTGAAGTGCGAGATATCACAGTGAAAGAAGATAAAATAAGCTGCTGGACATTTAGGACAGTGTGAGTTAACTGATGCAATCTCATTTTTCATGTATGACTTCTTACCTCCTCTTTGTGTCCCTCAGGATCCTCCACAAACACCAAGACTTCACCGCTGCCAGCCTCCAAAGTGTCTACTGTGAACACAGCTGGGTGCAGAACTTTGTTGCCCTGAGGTTCAATACCTGAGATGTGAAGACAAAAACATGGGATATAGTTATTCACTGACCAAGGTGCATTTGAAAATTTAAAAAGCTGTGACAGAGTAAATAAAAACTCCAATGAAATGTATTAAAATGTCTCTTAAATACAAATTTGTATTTGTTTTGTTTTTGTTTTTTTCTAATCTGTAACTCGTGACTAATATCCTTTTTATTTTTTTTGGATTTGTAAAATATGTCTTCATTAAAGCTAAGCAGCCATACCTGGTCCATAGGCTTTGACCTTGTCTGGAAAAAGCTGTTTGGGTTTGAGAGTAGCCCCAGGTTTCAGTTTGGCCTTGGGGAACTGAGACAAGTACGTCATGACCGAGTGCTCATCCACATCTGGGTCCACAATTTCCTCAGGGGCAATTACCTAAACACAGAATGTAAAACAGTACTTAATTGTACAAATGGCCCAGGATGTTCAGTAGGAAAATATGCTACTAAAAAGTCTCTATATGTGTAAAACAAGTAATAAGACTACAATATTATTTTCAGTGGGGGTATGGATTACTCTTCTGGGCAGCTTTCCCTGGTGGAGAATAATGGAGCAGACTTAAAGAAGGATTAAACGTATTTATTCTCTCCACCTCTGACTTCTGTCTCTCTTAAAGCACTTGTTTTCTTGTCTGTCAAACAGTGGCACAAAGCCACGCTCCACAATGGTTATATTTAACCTTAGGACAGAAAGATTAAGCCAGCATGGGCGGGTGGGTGGTTGTCCAAAGTCAGGCCCTCAATTTATGCATTTAAACACCACATTGGAATCTACCTCCCCTCACAGGGGGCCTGCAGAGCCACGGAAGGCACCCCTACCTTATCTGGCAAATGTTAAGCCTCATTGAGAAAAAGATAACAATGTGTGTTGGGCAAACAAGTAAACAATCGGCGTAGTGCACATCCGCAAATCCCGAGACTCAGATGAGAAACTTAGAAACAGTGCACGCTCAGGCTGTTCACATTGTTATTCCACTGTGCAGGCATACAGTATTTACACATTTCGTGTGCTAACTCGCAAAAGGTCTGAATAAATCCACAAGTTCACAACTCTTTTTTTTTCTTTGCCAACTAAAACTCCAACACTCACTGAGAACTAAGAGAAAAATATGGCAAATATGAAAAGTGAGCAGGGTATTAAAAATTCTTCTTTACCCTCTAGGGCGATATCCTGGGAGAGAAAAAACAAGGCTATCTTTCACACATTGTACTGCTTGTTTTAAAATATTTATATTTTAGAATTAATTAAGTGTTTTCTTAAGGTATGTGTGTTAAATGTGTATTCGTTTGCAGGCTTGTGCTCATTCTATTTATTTATTTTGTATTAATTATAAGAAAATAGACACAAACACGACTTCTAATGCTCATTTTAACCCCGCCCAGTTGATCTACAACAAAGATGCACTTCCTGTTTGCTATCTACATAGCTTACCTGAGGCACACCCAGCCAATCATCAGCCTGTTGCATGGCTTCCCTGGCATTCTGCACAGGCTTATTGGGGTCCCACTCCGCCCAGTCGGGGCACAAACCTAACAGGGGGAAAAAGGTGAGAGGGCAATTAGAAAATTGTGCACTGAGTAATGTAGACAGGAGCAGACAGCAGTTACTATAATAAGACCCACTTAGGCTGTCACTCCTATCTCTGAAGCGCTTCTAACGACAAGGCTGTGTGACCTTACCCACACTGTTCTGCTTCTGCAAATTCTGTATGTGTGACAACAAACGTCTCTATCGACTATTCACAAGAGCACTCGCACGGCGGTGCTTTCAGTGTGGCTGAGCCTCTCATGCTTCGTGCAGCTAATGCCTAAATTGGATTAGTGTTGGCAGTGGAGTGGCTACTCACTCAAAAGGCCCAAGCAAGCTCACCACAGAATACTATTATCTAATTAATAAAGACACAGGACCACTGAATAAAGTGAGCTTCGTTTGCATGGGTGTGAAACAAAGAGGCGTACGGAACAAAGCTTTACAAGTCTTCTGATGTCAGTATGTGCTTTGGCCAAACATAAAGAAAAGCTGCGTAGCATTCAGAAAGACCTGTTGCTATCTTCCTGGGCTCTCTCCATCTTCTTTATCTAATTGCTGTACTTGTTTTGGACATTTGTAAATGAAACAAATCGAAGTGCTAGAGTTTCAGATCTGAGGTAGCTTAAAAGCAGCCGATGAGACAAAAGCACCTTGTACGGTCACTGTTGCAGCACGGTGTTTAAAAGGCGCGTCTCCTCAGATCAATGGCTCGTGTAAACACAGTTAAACATGGTGTTCCACATTTGCTGCTCCCCCATCTTTCAGTTTGTGAGGCGAACCCGAGACAGGACTCTCTAATGTTCACTGTTGGAAGCAGAAGCCTCAGCTGGCGATAACTCAAACACTGGCCTTGTCTTTGGATCTGCGGCTCCGGCACCTCCATGTGACAGATTACTCAGCGTTTTGTTGCAGGGCCAAAGCATCCCCCTTGATAGAAGAGGAGGAATGGTGCCCAAATTTGGGGGTGTTGTCTAGCAGCGAGGCTATAAACACTGAAGCTAAGGCTTGGGCCTCGGGCCGGGCAGCACTGGGAGCTTTAGTCATTGTGGGACAGCTGGCAGGGAGGTCCTCCGACACATTCAGCAACAAAAAAAAAAGTTCAACATTCTGAAAAAACTCATCCCGAAAGCACAAATCACACTGGCTGTAGTCTAAATCAGGAAATACGATTATTTGTGAGTTCCCAGGAAAGTTGAAAGAGCTCCAGATCAGCAGTAAAGGTGAACAGTTTATCTGAGAAACCTGCACAGTTTAAATATAGTCAGGGACACACGCCTGGCTCCAACCTTTATGAGCAGTCTCAGCTCAAACAGGCGCATAGAGTTCGGCTGGACTCGTCATACATCCTTTAGTCTGAGTGCAAGTTTTTGGCTCCTCGGAAAAGATAAATATGCAGAGTGACAGAAATACTTTGTCTTCACTGTTAAGCAATGTCTCCCAGGCAAAATGAACTCTTCAGTATGTCTTTTTGTACTGTAGTACAACACTGTTTGTACAGCATATTGCAATGTATTCTATAGTGGCATCTCATATTGCGTTATAACATACAACAGGGCTATTCAAGTGGCAGATGGTGACTTCCATCCAGCCCACCAATGGGGGGGGAAACATTTTTTTAGTATTTAATTTAAAATAAAAGTAAACTGTAACTCAATTTCAACTTTATGATTCAAAGTAATAAATACAGAAATTTAAAATGTAAAAGATAATAATACTTGTTCTTTTACATAATGCAGTGTTGCCCCTACCATTATCTGGCAGACTGGCCCCCTATGTTCGACCCCATATCTGTCAGCTTTGAGCAATTTAGTTTAATAACCCTGTCGTACAGCTGTCATTTTATATTATATTATGTTGTTTCACATTGTACTGTATTGTATCATGTCATATTGTAATGTATTGAATTGTAAAATATTGTTTTGTATTGTTCTGTATATCATTGTGTCATATCACATTGTATCATATATTGTGTTGTTTTGTTGTCAGAGAAACTGCACTGCACATATTTTGCTGCAACACTTCCACCATCAGGGGCCTCTAGAATCAGCTGACGCCACAAAAAAAAAACTCCTTACCGGGGGCGCAGTTGTCAACCAGAGCTCCAAGGGCCTTCCCATCTCGCCAGTCACGGTTGAAATTGTTGATGGGCAGCTGGGGCACCTTATTTTGAATCCAGCCCAACAAGCGCTGCTTGGGCGTCAGCTTTTTCGTCTCCTCGTCGTCTTCATCGTCCCACATGGGCATGGAGATGGAGTAGTGCAGGATGAGCGTCCATATGAGACCCAGGATCAGCTTCAGGTTCCCATCCACAATGGCTTTACTATCTATGTTTAGACAACAGAAAGAACAAAGGTCAAGAGGGTTTAAGACACGTAATTTTATACAGTGAATTGATAATGTCCTTCTGAATGTGGCTGGTTTTATTTATTGTTGTTCACGTTGTTCTCAAAATTGTTCTTTTTGCATTTCTTCAGTGTTGACTGGGCTATTTTGGTGAGAAAAAGAAAAAAAAAGATGACTAGCTGCTGAGGAGTGAGGAATGTAAAGCACCTCACTGCTCACCCCCCGCCCACCCCCCCGAGCCCCTTTTCTCTCAGACAGCTGTCTGACTGAAGACCTCTGACAATCTGTCATCCAGTCACAATGGTCCTCTGAAGACAGCTGAGGATATGTGGAAACAGATCCCTCTCTGTATAAATGCCACTTGGATTTCAATTACCTCCTAAACTTGCACAGCTAGAGTGCGATAAATCAAATAGGTTGGGATTAAATCACCGGCAGTTAGCGCGAGGCTCGTTCCCTGCAACTCTCAGAGGAAAACTTAGTCAAATAAGCCTGGAAAAATCAGCTCTAATTTTAAAATTCAGCCGTTTGAACCAAGGTAGCTCCTTTTATCTGCTAATTTGGGAGGGCTAAATTCTAGTAAATCACTGCGATTTTAATAAAACTGGGAATTTGATGGAAGTTATTCATAACAGAATGCTTTTATTGGGAACTCTTTGACTTTTTGGAGATCAGTGTTCCCAATCAGCAGATAATGTTTGATGTGTCAGCTTGACAGGCAGAGGCAGGTGGCACAATGTGTGTCTGGCTTTAAGGGTGACGGTGTGGTCAAACAGACATCCATCAAATGGTATCCAGTTACACAGTGTGACACATGTGCAACTGGTGATTCTGCTCGGGCGTCTTCGGCCTTAACGACACGGAGGAGATTTTCTTTGGGGAGCTGCTTTTGAGCCTCACTAAAGCTGCCTGAAGAGAGACAGCCCCCTGTGGTAAAAGGCCTTAACATTCCTGTTTCTGTCAAAGCAAGCTGGCCTAATGTATATCTTGCAGAGCTGGGACAAACTGTGTAAACACAAAGCTGTCTGGTATAAAAGGATAGTTTGATTTTTTATGTGGGGTTCTATAGAAAGGTTATGAACCTTTAACATCTTAGATGCAGATAACTTGTCAAAACTTTCTGACCAGATTAGCTTACAGTGGGTGTAAATGTGGTTAAGTCGTCATAAAAAACTCAAATTAAAAAAAATGTTTAGCCAAACAAGGTTTTATCAACATTTACATCCTTGTCAATTTCACAGTAAATGGTTGATATCCTAGGACATCGACCTCGCTGCACCAGAAGTGCTACAGCTAGCTGCTGCTTCTTTCTGTGATTAAATAAAGTTTTATCTAAATTAGTCTGCATGGTGAAACTGACTCCAAAATTAAAGTTTTAGTCTATGCCAAAAAATGTCACGTCAAACTGTTTTCCATGAAATCACGATGATATTGTGTTGTTTTGTTTTTACCATTTTACGAGTTACTAAACAGAGAAACATCTCACGTAGCAGACAGGTGTGGGCCAGATTTGGCAATGACTGCATTGTTTTTAAGATGGCGTGCCGCTTCTGGCCCAGGTGTAATTTGGTTTCTGTGGTGCTGATCCACACTCTAAAAATGAAATGTTGGATTTACTTAACCGTGTCATGTTACCTGGTTTCACTTAACTGAGTTGAGTAAATTCAAAGTTTTTGGTTAAAACACTGGTATATTCCTTTGAATTTACTCAACTCAGTTAAGTGAAACCAGGTAACATAACATGATTAAGTAAATCCAAAATTTCAAATTTTACAGTGCATGTATGAAACACATCTGGTAAACTGGGACACTGAAGAGCTGGGATTATTTGTAGTATCTGAGCTGAGTGCATTGTGTGGGCCAGAACTGGGCCAGACAAACTTTGCCATGTGAGATAGCTCATTAAACTAACATAAAATAAAATTTAGCATTTAGGCCAGAGGGCATTTTAAAACAGATGTTACTCATTTTGTGTAATTTTTTCAACTCCAATGGAGTACATCAACAGACTTAAAACTCTTTAAACACCATCAACAAATTTAACCCTTTACAATTTAATGTCATCATATCAACCACTCCTAATTTTTAAAATAACATTAGATTACTGCTGTTTTCACTTTTTGGTTTTGTTTTAAGTAAGTAGAAATCCACTTTAGTCTTGTCCTTTTTCATGCTAGCCATCAGCTCATCATCCTGTTTAGATCTAATTCATATTTTCTGTCGCTGCCCCTAAACTGTGGAATGAGCTGCCTCTGCACATTAGACAGGCTGACTCACTTCCTGTTTTTAAATTAGCTCTTAAAACACTTTTTTTTCTCTTTGGCTTTTAACTCAGTTTGAGATGTTGGTTTTGATGTTTTTGTTTTTATGATGATATTAGGTGTTGGCTCATTTTACTTAGTTTATTGTTTTGTGTATGTTTTATGTGTTTTTGATCATGTACAGCACCTTGGCCAACGGGGTTGTTTTAAAGCGCTTTATAAATAAAGTTGTATTGTATTGTATTTCTCCAAACTGAGGTCATTCAAAGAGGTATCTACAACAAGTAAGATACTAAATGTTTATAACCTTTCCACAGAACCCCACTTCTTCAAGTCCCCGACTCATCACCCGTCACGTGCAGCCGATGAGGAATAATCTGTGATTGCGACCTCAGCCCCTCCTCATGAGATCACCAAGTTAGCTTGGAGATTACATTTTGACATTTAGAGTCCCCCGCCCCCCAAAAACAGAAACTAAACGTCAGCACATACACACAAACAAATGCAGCAAGCGCTCTCCCAAGAGCGAGGACACGCTGTGGCCTTCATAGTCCAGCGGTCAAAACCTCGGCCCTGCCTGGAATTTCACTCAAGTGTGTAACAGGATCATTAGACACTAAATCAGAAAAATGCTCTTGTCAGAGTTTAAAAACGGTTTCCCACACGAACTGTTAGGTGTGTTCTAAAGCTGCTATTCATAGTGGAATATCAGTGCTTTCATAGATGCTGCCAGTCATCCTGAGCTATTGGATATTTCAGAGGCATGCTGGTCTGTTCATCCATCCTTTTACGACTCTGTGGAAGTGACAAGAATCCCCCACGAGTTTTTACAGCCTGATCCCACCCAAATCCCCACTGGAGCTATTCGGCACCGAACAGAAACTATACTGAGATAGCTCCGGACAGTTGAAGGGCCCCCGCTGAGTCGTTCCGGTTCCTGCTGGAGACAAATGTGTGTATGACTGGAAACTGTGTCATTCTCATTAGCACAGTCCTAGCAAATTTGCAGGGTTTGCCACAGTGCATCAACAGGAGTCTGTTGAAGGATACAGATATTGGCCCTGAGTCATCTTAATGACCTCAGTGACACCTCTGCTGTGAGCTTCCAATAAGATGTTGACTCCAACTCATCAAACCAGAGGCCTCAGAAATATTTTCTATTTTCCCCCACTTTTTCTCCACCATGATAGATTTTGCATTTCAATGCTCGATAAAACTCTAAAACTCACCTATTGAGACCAGCTTGATGTGCTCCCTGTCCAGGAACTCCAGTGCCACAGAGACGTTCTCCAGCTTCATCTGCCGGAAGTTGGGCCTGACGTGGTGCTTCCTGTACATCTTCTTCTGGCTCAGCACCTCCAGGAGCGAAATCAGCTTCAGCCCGTCGCTGAAGTCCTTCTGCAGGTCGGTGATGGTCTTGTTCACGCACTTGAGGTGCTCGTTGCACCACCTGGTGAAGGTGTTCTGCTGGATCTTCTTCCACGGCGCGTCCTCGGCCAGGTCCTTCTCGGTGGCCGGCATCTCGTCGTCCTCCTCCTCGCCGAAGTCCGTGGCCTGGTAGTACTGCGGGGGCAGCTGGTCGTCGCCGTAGTTGTTGCTCATCATGACAGCCCTGTCCTCGTCCACTTTTATAATCTCGCCGCGGGGGTCACACCTGGGTGTTGGACCGTGCAGAGGAAAGTTCAAGCTCGGACTCAGCGATTCTTCAGGCCTACTTGTGAAGAGACCACTCGTGTCAGGACAGTGACAGATTGGATTATCCGAATGAGGGAGGCAGCCGGTGGCTTGTTTTTGTCTTCTTAAATTGACACTCTGTTGGTAAAAATAATATGAAGGCACCAGGATTTTCTTCCTTTTTTGTTTGTTTTAAAGTAGATTTCTGTGGCAGGTGAACTGGAGCAGCAGTGTAGGAGTTGAACTTCTTGCATGCAGAGAGAGGAAAGAGATGGGGCTTTTATAAAGCACCCCCACCACGACACGTCATTATCAGTCTGTGATCATAGTCTATTTGTTGTCGGGGGTCGGTTTACTGGGAGGCCTGGGTGGTGATTGGTCAGACTCCGAGCAGCGCAACAGTTGTGGCATGCACCTTATTTTTAGGAGCTCCTATTTGGGTGACAGGAGGGAGGGAGAGGGGGAGAGCCAGGGAGGGGGCTGACCGATTGTTGTGAATGTGTGTCATGCTGCCAGGGGTCCAAGCGGATGAACAACTGCACTAAGAAAAGAAGGAGCAGTGAGTTCCTCTGAGTTAAAACTGTCTAACAGAAAGTGTGTTTTTGACTTTTCGTTTGGGCCACAAACATTTTAAAAGACTGAGGTCACTGTGAGAATGTGTCTAATTCATCACCGCAGTGTGAGATGATTTCTGTACGGACCGTCAAAGGTCACTTTGCTCCAGGAGGCTTATGAGATGATGTTTTAGCCTCTATAAGTGATCGTCAAGATGGCCTGAAGGCCTGTGTCTTCTTGATGGTCTTTCAGGGTCGATGGGTTGTTCTGCTTCACTAATGGGATAGTCTAGTTCAAGGCTATTCATCTAAATTGTTCTGGGGGCCACAGTTAATGCAGACCAATGGCACAGCGGCCGAACATCCAGCAATTAAAGTTATTATGTAAATAAACCAAGTGTTACAAAGATCTGTTACCTTTGGAATTTTTTTTTGCTGTATTTAATCATAAATACACCATATAGAACCATATAAAAGTAGTGATAAATCAACAATATCAAAAACTAAAATGACACATTTTGCCTCATATTTAACACAAATATTATTTTGACATCTCTGATTTGCCAACTTTTTTAACCAATTTTATTTTCACTTTCATAATTTTATCTTCAACTGCTTGTAGTTTTCACAGTCTTGACTGTGCATAGAAATGGTTTTTACCAGCTTCTAGCCAAGTTTCTGAAGTTTCTGTAGATACCACGTCTATGTTTAACTAAAAGAACTTAAATAAATTAAAGAAGATAACCTGGGGTTTAGACTTCAGAGATGAGTGAACCAATTGGCGTGCCGCATTTTGGTCACTTGCGGGCCGGATGTGGCCCTCAGGCCGCCTGTTTCTGGTTGTTTCTGAAGTTATGTTCTGTCAAGTAGTCATGAACAATTTGTACCTTATCAGTAGTGGCATCAGTCAGAAACCACAGAGGAGGATGAAGAAAAGGCAAAAGTCTTTGTCCGGGTTATGCTGTTGGCTAACCGAACAAGTGCCAATTTATTTTTAAAGCTGTGGTCTTTAACTTGATCAGGTCACTCCTGTCTAAGATTTTTCATCTGATGAGTTTTTTTTTTTTTTTTGGCTCATTGTGGCAAAAATAAAGGGATATTATCAGTTGTTATT